AGAAACAAAAAACAAAATAAACTTAACAGGCTGTGCAGATGCATAGCAGAATCTCATGGTCATTGTGGTAAAGGTCTGGACAGGTAAAGGTCTAGCTTTCTTCCCTAACATAGAGTATAGTGTGCAGTAGTTACTCCATAAATGATCCTCTCAGACATACTGTACACTGCTGTGTTCTCTTGTTTTCCTCTCTATTTTACTGCAAAACTTAGTTATTCTGCCTCAGAAACTTTCTCTTATATATATGTTTTTCTTCCCTTGCAGCTTATAAGACATAATCATTTTTTTCTTTTTCTTGCTTACCACCCACTGTCACCACATATAAAACAATTTTGCCTTTAATTGATTTGGCTAAACATATAGCTGTTGAATGTAACAGTAATACTAGAAACCTACTGTGAGGGAATTGCCTTTTTTAAAATAAAAATACAACATCATGAAATATAAAGTAAGGATGAACTTCAGAAAAATTGGGAAGAAGGTTCATGAAACCCTGACACTGTCATCTTGAGTCCAAAATTCAGCTCACTTTGGAATCTCTTTGTCAGCGTTTTTACTACGTATCAGCGCCCGCGATACTCATCTCTCTGTAACAACGGTCTTAGTGTGCCTGTGGCCTGAGGCAGCATGGTGGACGGAAGAGCACTGGCTTTGGTATTGTGACAGGGTTCAGTCAAATCCCGGTATTGTGACCCTCTCAGCCTCAGTTTTGTCATCTGTAAAATGGATTCAGTAATATTACACATCTCTGGTATGGCTGGCCCTCCCTGAGATAGACTTTTATACTAAATATTATGAGTAAGCAGAAGGGAAGGTATAAAAACAGAACAACTTGCAGGCAGCTAGGCTATAGCTTAGGACCCTTCTGACACCCAAGGATGGGTACAACTTCTGAAGCACTTTGCCTGGGCACTGTACTTTCTGATATTTGGCCTTCATCTCGACGGTGCTGCTATGACCACTCACCACAGAAGAACAACCTAGACAAATGCCTGGGTACTAAACCTATCCATTTAAAATTTATTAAAGGATCTAGCCATTCATATATCTAGAAACAAAAAACAAAATAAACTTAACAGGCTGTGCAGATGCATAGCAGAATCTCATGGTCATTGTGGTAAAGGTCTGGACAGGTAAAGGTCTAG